ACATTGGTTACTGGGTATTAACGTGAGCACCACTCACACCATAATGCATCAACACTTGAACTTTTGAAAAATTTGTGCGCAGTGTTTTTCCCACCGACTGACGCCGAACAACGCAATACTCAAATAGCGCTGTATTTGAGTCATCGGCATGTTATCATGAGGAGGAATATGGCTTTTTGTTGCATGTTGTCATTGGTGACGAAACATGTTGTCATCATTTTGAACCGGAAAGCAAGTGTCAAAGCAAGCAGTGTAAACGTGCGACTTCACCAACTCCAAAGAAATCAAAGTCCGTGCACACCAATTCTGGTAAGGTCATGGGATGTTCTTCTTTTTTACCACAAGGGCCCAATGCTTGTCGTGTTCTTGGAGCGTTGAACCATCATCAATGCCCAGCGTTATCAAGCTACTTTACAAAAGTTTTAGACGAGCCATCAGATCGAAACGCCCAGGCATGTTGTCCAATGACGTTATTCTCCTGCATGATCATGCCCACCCATACACGGCCAATGCAGTGAAGACGACATTATAGTAGTTTCGGTGGGAAACGCTGGAATATCCACCGTACAGTCCAGATCTTTCACCGTGTTATTTCATATTTTTGGACTTCTAAAACGAGCTATTCGTGGGCATTGACTCGCAACGGACGACAAAGTGTGTGACTGGGTTCAAGCCTGGATCCAACATCAGCCTACTAGCTTCAAAGCTGGAATAGACCGGCCAGTGTCGCAATGGAATAAACGTGCCAATAGTTTTGAAGACTATTTTTGAGTATGTGTACAGTGTATAACAACATTTTTGAGTTAATAAAATCGTAACCGTTACTTTCCTCTGATTGGGTTTCATTCGAATGTCCCTTATATAATATTGTATTATCTGCTATATGTGCTGTATAAATGTGATATTTCTCGTTACTAACATATGATATTCAAGTTTATAATACTTTAAAAAAAATCTATATTTGTTAAGTGTTTCTTTAATAGTAATTTCAAATATTTAGTATTACATTTAACTCGGGGCCTAACGTAATAATAAATATTTGATATACACGTATACATATCTATATTCTATCTCTGTGAATTGTATATTTGAATGTAGTCTCAAATGTGATACATAATTTTTTGGAAGTGCGCTTTTTAGTTTATGAGTTTTCATATAGTTCTCTTTCATACAGTTAACTTTGCAAATAATGATGTGAATATTAAAATAGATCAGATTGAAAGAAAATGTGATCAAATAAATTATAATTTGTAAATGAAAGCAGTTACAATAATCTCTATTCATAAACAAATGTCCTATAGTATTATTAAAATATTTTTGGCTCAATACGCAATAATGTTATTAAATTTTTGTAGACTTAAAAATTATCTGTTTATAGTAATAGGCAGTAGAAGACTAATTTAATTAGTAAATATTTTTTCGAAAAATAATTAATTATTATTTTTATTTATGAACTAAATAACATGAGGGATAATTTCAATTGACATGACTATGGTTTTTAATGAATACTTATTAAAACTAAATTCAATTAATTAAATTAAAGAACTCAGAACTTAATTTACAAAATGACTTTTTATTAATCAAATTTTGATTTACAATATTATCAGATAAAAATAATTTAAATTTTCGTTCATAATACTATTTTACAAGCAGAAATCTTTTGAATAAGTTTTTGTAAGAACTAGACTAATACCTCTCATAATTTAATTATTATATAAAATTTGAATCGTATCGTTAATAATTTTATTAAGACGACAAAAAAAGTTAAATGATTTAAAAAATTTGATATGTTTCTAGAAATTGAAAGCATTTATTTATCCATTTAAATTCTGATTTAAAGCAATTAGTTTAAATTAATCAGAAATATATCAGGTACTTGGCATTATTAAAAGCGTTTCTCAATATTATACAAAGTTGTAATGTTCCAAACGCTAAAATGTGTTACGTGTTTTATATTTTAAAAAAAAAAAAATTTATTTCTCATGCTGAATTTAGTTAAATAAATAGGGTTTTTAAATAAGCACATTATATTTTGAAAAGTCTGGGGATATTAGCATTTTTTTTATTATTATTTAATGCAAAAAATTTACTTGCACATTGTCATTTTTCCTTAATTGTCATTTTTTAAATGAAAATTACTAAACACATGCCTTATGTTAATAGTTTTAGTAACCAATTATTTAAAGACTCTTATAGAAGAAGGTGCAGAAATATATATTTTGAATTTTGAGCAGATGAAACTGTATTGAGGACATGATATCAAAATAGTCGTTTCAAATTAGACGCATGGAATTTTATTTGAACAAACAATTTGAAAAGAGTTTATTTTTGCATTCGAAAAGCAAATTTACAAAAACAATAATAAGCCAACGGAAATATTTTGAAGCAAACAAAAGAGAAATATACCGTGTATCAGGATTAGTTTTTGTTAAGCCATGTACCAAGGGGATTTCCCTTAAATCAATAATCGAGATGTAATAAATACCAATGTAATTAACCAGAGGATTCCTTACCATTACATACAGCAACAAAATTGCATGTGCATTGACTAAAAGGGGTGCATGTGAGCCATCAGACTTCCTAGACTCTCTGACTTAAATGAAACTGTATTTCAAAACAAATGGAGATAGTCATCTAATCCAGGGATGGCGAACCACTGGCACGCGTGCCACTGATGGCACGTGACACAATACTTTTGGCACGCCAGTGATCAAAATGGTTTGCATGTTATTTCAAAGTTCATTATGAAGTATTACGAACAAACTCGAGTGATCGGTCGCGGGGCGGCGGGGATCACACTTGTTTGTCATTGTCTTGCCTTAGTTATGTCGTAGACTACAGTTGCTTATGATGTAAAGTTTGTCTACACATAGAATAGTCAATTTCATTGATGCAACTGTATTTTAAAGTTTATCTGTGTTGTGTTATACTTACGATTTTTAACTGTTATTTAACATGGAAAGTTCAGCAAAAGAACAAAATATGCAAGGCAGGAAGTGTAACAGAATTTCAAATTTAGCATTATTAGTAAAGGCGGCAAAGAGGTGGGTGTTTTATGTACTGGAATAGTGGTATGTGTAGAACATCGACTGTAAAACGGTATTTTAAAACAAATCACAAACCCTCTTTTTAAAAAAAGTAAACCACAGTAAAAATATAAAAGACCGTTCGGCAAATGACTCACATTCAGCATATATTCTACAAAAAGTAGCATCTTACAGTCCTAATATAAGTTATTGGTCATCCAATCTGCAACAACAGAAGTCACACTAATGTTACTTTAATCTGAATTACCCGTATAAGTAAAAACTTTATAACTCTCTATACAGTACTAAAGGTATTCTTTTCATAGTAAATAGAGTTTTGTGTTGTTGGTATTTAGTTTTATTATTTTCCCAGTAATCACAAGTCAAAATTTTACGGCACGGCCTTACCTCATTAAATACTTCTTTAGAAAATATGGCACGTTGATCCATAAAGGTTCGCTATCCCTGACCTAAGCCAACCCACCAGCACTTCATTTGGAGGTTTTCTGATTTTTCAGAGTAGCATGCAGAAGCAAACCACTTTGATTCTGTTTTTCAGTGGACACGTCTTCGGTTTTTGTCTTACTCTTATTGAGTCGAGTATTTTCCAATATGCACCGAGTGTTGCATTAGCCAGTCCTCACCTAATCATATCTTACATTGTGTTAGGGACTTTCCAACAAAATCTTATTGACAATTCATTATTGGTCTAGAACAGGGGTACTCAACCTTTTTTCCTGCCAGGCCGCATACATATGACAGGTATTTCACGCGGACCGCAACAGGAGGATAATGGGGGAGGAGACACTATAAGACCAAAGCAACATTGGACAAAGTAAAATTAATCAAAATATTAAAACTCATTTTTCAGGCGGGGAGGGGTGGCTTTTATTTTAATACTATGTTAACCTTTCTATCAAACACACACAAAATATTTACTTTTATGCATCTTTTAATGAGTTTTGGGGTAGTTTCGGTTTCCTTTCATCCGTGACCAAGCCTCTTGTTTACATTCTGATATCAAGAAAGCAATCTGATAGTAAAACTGATAGATTTGATTGCTTGATTGATAGAATTTCCCGCTAAATTTTTAGCACATTGTTCGGAAATAATTGACTTGGTACAATGAGCTATGAACGGGCAACTCAAAATAGGCCGGCAGGGCTACATGCGGCCCGTGGGTCGCAGGTTGAGAGTATCACTGGTCTAGAATATAATCAAATCTAGAACATAAACTTAATCAAACTCTTTTGGACTTCTGAGACTTCCAGCAACATAATTGACGAAAAAATCACATATTCAAACTACTTTTTTATATAAGGAAAATATAAGCCTTTATGCTAACGAAAATATTATACTTTTGATTTCTTCAGAGGAAGAATATACATATATGTAATCATTCCCGTAAGTTTTCTTTTGAATTTTAATTCATAATGTTTTTCAGCCCTCAAAGACTGGACGGGATATTTCTTTTTATTTTACCTTCCTAACCTGAACTAACCGCAAATTCATCTCTCAAAAATCTAAGAAATTAGCTTTTTTAAATCAGGGTGATGTAATATTGCATCCCCCTCGTATAGGGACCAATCAGAAAAGCCTTTATTGGAAACTATATGATTTTAATAGCTTCCGGTTGACTATGACTTTTAATAGATGAGATCTCGGGTGCGAAGAATGAATGCTTGTTAACGTCATGTAACACCCGTGCGTTTATAGCTTTTTTCAATTTCTTCTATTAGTTCACTCTCTCTCTATAATATATATATCATGTTCAAGTTTTTAAATTAATAATAAAATATTTTTTATTCATCCACTCAAGTTCAAATACATTTTTTAAATTTGTAGAGGATGACACTTGATGTTCATACAGTTTTTTTAAATATTAATTCATTAATTAAATTAAAAAATGAATAATTATTAACAAACAAAAATAATAGTCAAACAGCAAATATTGATGGGAAAATTGCTCGTTGTGTCCTAGTAGCGCAATGAATAGCTCGTTGGACTACTAATTCAAAAGTCGTGAGTTCGAATCCCACCTGGGATGGCCTAATTTCTGAGAATGTGATTTCTTTATTTACTGCACTATTCCATTAGAATAATTAAATTTAATTAATAAGTAAATAATAAAAAAATAAAAATAACAGCCCAACACGATATATAGAAAGGAAAATGGAAAATTACAAGGAAAATCACTTTCTACTTTGTCACTTAATGTTGTGATATTGTCATATGTATGTACATATTTATCTTAATTGTAACTGTTTAATAAAAAAAAACTAAAAAACAATTTTTTTTTTATTTTACTTGTATAAAACCTGTTTTTTTATGTTGGTGTTGTGTTTCTACGTTACTGAATAAATGCGGATTTTAAAATAGCAACATATCTCCTGATAGATTTATTCAACAACTGAAATTAAATTAATTACCCCATTTACTCGAATCTAAGCCGTTTTTTTTTGGGTTTTTTACAAAAATCAAAAAATATTTGTGGGAGAGGGGGAAATTGAGAATTGAGTTTCGCCCTTTCAAAAGGAAAAATTTAACCATTCTTTCTTGCCACTTGCATCGATGACTTATCCCCTTCTGCAGTGTTCAGTTTATCCTAAACATTGTTGTCTGCTTGTATTTAAAAATTTTTTTTTACGCATTCTTTTAATCATCTAAACATGAAATAGTACATCGGTAATAGCATCAAGACGAGTTCACTATGAAACAAGTATGGAAGGTAATCAACAGAACAGTGGCCTCTGAAAATTTAACACGAATGAAACAAATATACGTCGATGGCGTAAGCAAAATAATATGAACTTTGTTTGTAAGGATTCACCAGTCTCTAATAATTCTTTTAAAAAAAATTTGTATAAAAATTCCATTAGATGGCAAAAGACGACACCGTGTGGAAAATTGCGACGCCAGCACCAATTCCGAAATCTGCTGCGACAATGGAAATGACGAATAATTTTCGAAACATGATTCGACTTTTTAGAATAATTAAAAGGGCTTATGTATTTTTTTGGTTTTTTAATGTTTGGTAAAATACAAAAAATTTTTAACCTTTCCAATTTTTTTTCACATTAATTTTTTTTTTAAATTTCTGAAGTTTTTACAAAACCCCCTTTTTTTTTTTTTCCTCAAAACGTTTAAAAATTGGGTGTGGGGTTTTAGATTTGAGTAAGAATGCCCTAATCTGCGTGCAATACTTCATAAATTTATTCTAAGTTTTTTTATAAACGGAATAATCACATTTCATAAGAGTTTTACATATTTCATAAAAACTTTTCTAAGAAATATTTTTATTAATATTTAATTAATGTTATTTTTATTATTAATTATACCACATTATTGAGTCTCTGCTTATCATTTTAAATAACTGAAAAAATTTTCGTTATTGCTTTTTTCCCTAGAGATTTAAACGAAAAAGTCTTTTGTCCCAAAATTTTAACCAAAACAAAGAGAAGAAAAAAATAGGCATTGATATGGAACCCTTTCAATGTCAGGGGTTTTTGAGAAACAAAAATGAAATCATTGGAAATGTCCCTTTTGCATATCTAAAAATTTTAGAACGCAGTGTGAAAGGAATGTGGGGGTTTGTTTTAGGATGGTTTTTGCCGAAAAAACATACATCTTCATGCTAAAATCATGAAAAAGGTTTCCCGGGATGATTGTTGTGTACTTTCGCACCAAAAAATTTTTGGTCCAAATCAAATAAAAAAAAGCTTCCAAAGGAAATATCTGGGCAAAAATCGTCGGGAATTTTTTAAAAAAATGTTTTGAGTTTCTATTCAAAAATTTAAAACTTTACAGTATTTTGTGTTTAACAATAAATATTTTTATAAATTACAGAAACAAAATAATTAATTTTTTGGATTTTAATATTTTTTTAAATTATTTTTTTAGGGAAAATTTATTTTTGTTATCATCATTTATTAATACTATTATCTTTATTGATATTATCATTCGTTATTAGTAATTACTATTATCGCCACATTCCTTATTATTTTATTTTTTTTTTTTGCATATATAAAAACGGGTTTTCTTTTTTAAAAATTAACTAAATATTATTTTCCCCGGAAAAAAAATTTTTTCCCCCAAAAAAAACCAAAATTTGTAGAATACAAAACGTACAAATAAAAAAAGGGGTTTTAAATAGAATTTTGGGTCAAATCTCCAAGGGTCTGCCAGCTTTTTGGAAAACTTTTCTCCTCTAAACAAAGGAACTGTGGGGGCGGTTGGGAAAACCAACGCCCCTTAGGAACCTTCATTTGAATGGAAGATTGGGCCATCGAGATGAGGTGCAGTTTTGGGAAAACAGATCCCAATCCAAGGTCCCCTTTGGCACGCTTGGGGGAATGTTGTTTAAAAACCCCTTCCATTTTTGTAGGGCCCCAGCCGATCATCGCCCCAACCAAGGGCCCCCCTGGCCGAAATCGATAAAATAGAGCCACCTTCCTTCTGAACACTTTTTTTTTTGTTTTTCGCGAATGGCAACGCTAATTTTATTTTTCATATTGCTTTACCCCCTTCCCAGGACCAGCGGAAGAAGAAAATCCCCTTTTGGCCCGAAAGTTTCGGGGGAGGAGGGGGGACGGGTTTAAATTTTCCCCCTTGTAACCCTTAATTTTTCTTTAAAAATTCATAAAAAATTTTTAAATGCAATCACAAATACCCCAAAAACCCTTACAAATATCAAAATAATATTTGAATATAAAGAAAAAATTTTTTGGCTATATTTAAAAAAAAGGTTTTTAAAGAAAATTTTTCTTTTTAAATTAAAAAAAAAAAACACTTTCAAAAAATTTGAAAAAACCCCATACTTTTAAAATAAAATAAAAAGAAAATTTTTAAAAAAAAACAAACCAACTTTTTTAAAATATATAAACAGAAATCCATAGAGAAATTAGATCACAAACCTCTAAATGTCCGATTTTTCTCAAAAAATAAACATGTGCAGGTTTATATTCATAAATATTTTTGGACTTAAAAATTTAAAAACCCCGGAGCTAAAAACTTTTATTGAAGTTAAAAAGTTTTTGACCCATTATTTGAAAAAAAAAGGGGTTTTTAAAAACCGCCATCTAGTGCCGTAAAAAATTCTAAAATTTCCCTAACTTTTTCCCACCGGTGTGATCATGGGCCCAAAGGGGAAAGCTGAATCACATATATAAGTGGGCCCGGGAGGAGAAACGGGGATCACATAATGTGTTTATGGTCCTGAACGGGATATCGTACTTTTTAACCCTGCCCATTTTTTCAGGTACTTAAATAAAATTTCCCTCGACAATCCAAAGATACAGAAAGACCTTCTTGTTAATAAGCGTTCATTTTACAACTGAGCCTGCTCATTCCCCGGGTGCTGATCACCCACCTTTACTTCTTGTATTGTTTTAGTAAATCCATTTTTCATCTCATGTCACAATTCTTCCAGGGAAAGATTTTTTTTCTTGATAAAATACGCCGCTTCTTTTTTTCTTGCCTTCAGAAGTCAACTCATGAGGTATTCAGCGTTTAAACTTAAACGTTGAGTTTATGTGTTTGCGAGCATTAACTATCGCTTTTTGACGAACGTCAAGCTCTAACGCAATAGTTCGTGTTGAAACATTTCTGTCTTGATCAATGATTTACTTTAGCTGGTCACAATCAACCTCAATGGGGTGGCCAGATCGCTGTTCAACTTCACGGAAAAAATTCCCAGCTTTTTAAATTTTCGAAACCAAACTTTTACTATATTATAAGAAAAAGAAAAAACAAAAATTTCCACAGTTTTGTGGGATTCCCGTTGCAATGAGTTTATTTTGGGAAATTTATAAATATGCATTTTTGGTCTGTTTTTTCATGATAAACCCCATTTTAAACACTTTAAAGGTGCACAAGATAATAAAATTTTGACAAACAAATTACACAGTCGTGTAGTTCCAACTTTCAGATTTATAATGCAAAACCCCGTTTGGAGAAAAGTTAACTACCATGGAAATGGTCACTGTTGGTGTGGAGGTATTTCCCCGTGGCGGAAAACTTTTGACTCAACCCCATTTTTAAATAAGGTTGGTTTTAAAATTTATAAAATTTTAACCAACCCTTACATAAAAATTAAGAATTAAAAAAGTATATTGGTGGTATAAACAAAAAACTATGTGTATTTGGGGAAAACTTGATAATTCTTTTCCAAAAAAAAAAGGCAGAATAAGAAACCTGTTTTCATGATTTAAATTCGTAAAGGCAAATTTTTAAAAGAGTCATTATTTGAAAAAAGAAAAGCAATTTTCTAAATGTTAAGATTCAGAGAATTGAGTAAATCTTCTTTACTTATTCAAAAATTAAAGTACAAAACGGTCACTATTTTATTCAAAAGTGTTTTATTAAAAAAAAAATCTTTTACTGACTTCAATTCCTTTAAGATTATTTTAAGCGCCTTACAACGTTTAAAAAACTATTTGCTAATGTATTCTCAGTAGTTTTATCAGACATTCTTATTTAATTCTTTTTCACAAATTAACGATACATAATACTATATAATTGTGCAAAGTAACTCATTTATTTTTTTTTTTTTTTTAATTATAGATAGATTAACAAGAAATTTGTTTTGAAATTGCAATTAAGTTTCAGTTTTGTTAACAATACTTTTTTTCATCGAATGAAAACAAAGCAATTATAAGCAGTTAATAATCCACAGTTAATTTTTTTATTGTTTAAATAACCTTGAGTTGTCCTGAATTTTTTCTATTTTAGGAAAATAAATAAAATATGAAATTTTTTTTTTTTTAATCAATTTTGCTTTTATGTGATTTATGGAAGAAAGATAATTACATCTAACAGTTTTTATTTTCGTTAAGAACTTATTTGAAACAAATATATTGTAAGGAATTTTAAACGTATAGGATTTCAACTTAACTTCATCTAAAAAAATTGCTTAAAAGTATATGTTTTATTTTAAGACTCCTTCTTAACTCTTTTTGAGGTAATATACTATGGAATTTTAATAGATCTAATTTTCCAAAAGTTAGAAAAAAATTTAAAACTTGCATATTTTTGCCGGGAAAAAAAATG